AAATCTGTACAGGGAGTTTGCTGAAGAGGAGGACAAAGGGAGCTGCTGCATGGTGGCCCTACCCCCACTCAGAGAGCTCAGGATGGCCAAGGATGGGTGGTGCAGCCTGCAAGGTGTGAAAGAACATGCAAGCCTGAATGAGCCATCAGGTCTCCCGTACACTGCTGATTGGAGTGCAAAATGTGCAGCTGCTCTGGAAGATGGTCTGGCATTTCCTCAAATAATTAAACATAGCACTACCAGGGGACCCGCCAGTCCCACACGTGGGTACATATCCAGGAGAAATGAAGACACATACCCACCCAGAAAGTTGAACACTAATATTTATAACAACATTATTCATAATACTCAAAAAGAGGAAGCAACCCAAATGTCCATTAGTGGACACATGGATAAACAAAAGGTGGTCCATCCATATGATGTAATATTATTCAGCCATAAAAAAGAACGGAGCCCTGATACATGGTATAATGTGTGTGAACCTTGAAAATATTATGCTAAATGCAAGGGGCCAGTCACAGAAGAACACATATTATACGATTCCTTTCATATGAAACGTCCTGAATCTGCAAATCTATAGACACAGAAAGTAGGTTAGGGGTTAGCAAAGGATGGGGGTGGGGGTGGAGAGGAGGGGTGATAACTAAAAGGTATGGATTTTCTTTTTGAGGTGATGAAAATGTTTTAAAATTGACTCTGATGATGGTTGCACACATCTGTGAATATACCAAAACCATGGAATTGCACACTTCACATGAGTGAACTGTATGATATGCAGATTGTAACTCAATAAAGACGTTAAAAATATCCCTGATCACAGCCATATCTCTCCCTCCACCTTCCTTGCTCTTTCGCTCACACTTCGAGGTTTTAATTGGCAAATAATCTTGAGCACATAGAAAAATTATGTGTCTATTCGCTGCACCATTCCCCCCCACACGTAGAGAGCACGTCTACTTAGCTGAGAATAGGAGGGTCTGGCAAACATCAGCTCCCAAACCTTTAAATATATGCTGTCTGTGTGTGCTTTGATTGGTACTTGACAGCAACGATGAACGTGACACTGAGAAACACTCGTGATGAAAAATCAGAGTCGCACAGTAACAGCCATGGGGTCTGCCCGGCATCTCCCCTCTGCCACGGCCGGGAGATAATCAAGTCTGAAGCTGTGCAGTGGTTTGAAAGAAAAACTACTGCGGTTTCCTGCGAGCAGGTCTGTTCAGGCTCCCCCTGCTGGGAAGTCTGCTTTCCAAAGAGCCTGAAGGTCATGAGCCTCTTTCACGGTCTCTCTGCCCTCAACTAAATGTTCTGTAAATAATTAGACATTAAAGTCTTGGAAATAATAAAGCCGCCATATTCCACGGGTAGAGGACTAATTGGCAGAACCTGTCTTGCTGATCATTAAATCCCCGGGTCGGAAATGCCCGGCTCGGGGAGGAAAGGCAGCAATTCTTGTCTAACGTTGGTATTTACAGCCCTTTGTTTTCCTGAGAGCAGATGCCTCCCACTTTGTAAGCATAAATTCAGAATCTTTTAATTTCCCGCTGCCATCCACAGATTATTTAAGCTTTTGGGCTCTTCTATAAACAGTGTTACCTTAAAAAAATAGTAACAATCAAAGGACTGAATGATGTCGAAGTCGAACTTAAAAGCCTGGAAGCTGTGGAGGCACCAACGGGTCGGCTTCGCCGAGGGTAAGTGGCTGGATCTCATGAATATTCAGGAGCTGCCACGACCAGGTTTGGGGCAGCACGCTGTCCAGAAGAGCCCCGAGGATGGACCCCAGTCTCCACAGAAGCCCCAGGGCAGCCCCGCCCTGTTGGGTCCTGCCCTTGATTTTCTCCTATCTGAATCAGAAAATAAAACCAGGGCCTGCCTTCCTCCTTCCCCAAGGTGTTTTACGAAGATCGGCGAGATCAATACCTGGATTGCGCTGTGGGTCTCCCGAGACAAGGCTTGAGATTAATGTTAGCGATGTTTTAAAGACCCTTCTCCCGACCACTTTGTGTGTGTGTGTGTGTGTGTGTGTGTTATTTTATTGAAGTATAGTCAGTCAACAACGTGTGTCAATTTCTGGTGTAGAGCAGAATGCTCCGGTTATACGTGAACATGCATGTATTCATCTTCACATTCTTTTTCACCAACCACTTTTGATGAGCGGATCTAATGGGTCCACTTTGAGCCTGGCCCGCCAATCTCTTCTAAATGCAAATTAAAATTAATTTTGGTGAAAAGTATTCCTGGATACTTAGTATATCTTTTAAAGTGATCAGAGACATCCTGGGGTGTCAAAAAGTCATCAGCACATTCACCTGCACGAATGTGAGCTCTGATGACGTCCTCAGTCGCCTGTGCCTCCCACACGGTCAGAGAGGAGGGAAGGGAGCTCGCTGGCTCCCACGCAACACGGGGCTCGGTAACCTGGGGTGACGGGATGGATTGATCTATGACTGGATTCTCCTAAGAGTCCAAGAAGTGGGGACTGTCAGCTCTGACTTACTGATAGAAGAGGGGAGGGTTTTTATTTTTATTTTTGAGATACGAATGCAGAGGTAGTAATACTTCACTTCACATTGGCAGAGACATTCACAATTGTTAATGTATTTTCCTGTGACTTTTAGTTAGGGAGCTAACAAATAAGTAGATTGGGAAAATAATTAGGTAGAGGATAGTCAGGGAGAGTAATGTCATTCCTTTCTTAGAAAAGAGGAACAAGATTCAAAAACAGGTGCCAATGCCCCCATAAAGGACAGCAAGCAGCAGGGGCAGCTGTCAGCTCTCTGTTCCCGACTCCCCGCCACACCTGGCTGGGGCCCAGGGCACAGACCACCTGGAGGGGTGTGGCTGACACCTCCCCTGGACCATCTCCCTGTAAAGTGGCGCCACTGATAGCCTGTCACTCCAGCATTAGGAGACCCCCGCCTGAGAAGCCAGCTGGTACCACGTGAGCCTTGGCCTCGACAATCTTTCAGCACGCTAAGCTGCTTTGAGTCAGGCAAGCATGGTGACATTCATTTTTGTCACCTGATCCTCCACTCACAGCCTCAAGGCACCGGTATGGACGTGCATTGCAGTTGGCCCTAGACTTTCGTTTCACAACCATCTTGCCTCGGAAAGACCCCAGCCCAGGGAACCTTCCAGGGCCAGGGGTATGCTGTGCAGTGAAGGTCACTTGTTCACTCAGTGGACTGGGAATCGTGTGGACACACGAGGTAAAGTGCAGACTGCAGCGCCCACGGGGCACCGACTGCACTGTCTTCCGGAGCCCTGAGCCGTTGCCTATGACTTGCCTCATTCCTTTCTGCACAATAAAGCCAACCGGACCGTTAATCCACCACAGATGGATATTATCATGTGCTTTGGTAGGGACCCAACAGCTGATCGGGTTCACTGTGGAGGTGATCTTGCTCCTCATTTCATATTAAAATGCTCAGGAGTCTCCCAAGAGACCATGTAAAAAGTGAAATTTATCCACTGCTCTGCATTTGCTAATTTGGTAAGAGTTTTGATCTCATTTGCAGGGCTTAATATAGAAATTCATTGAACCTGAACACACAGCAATGTGGGATTTTTCCAACAAGAAAATATCTGTGACATGTGTCAGAAATACACACAGCATGCTGCCATCTCTTTACATATATATGCCATAAATATATGTGTCATACATATGTCATATATATATATATAAATGTCAAAAATTCTGAGACAAAAATTGACTTAGCTCCTAACAGCACCATGCCTTCGTTCTTCCTAATTTATTTCCCCTGATTTTTGAAAGAGATATAATGCATTTTAAAGTATAAACAGTTTTGTATTGAAAGGACATATGATAATTCTCTATCATAATCCTCAAATTTCAAGGAAATAACATGAGATGGAAATTCTAAATTGAGGACTAAAAGACAAGGACCCAGCATCGATTGTTTGGACATGCCATTAGACAAATACTAGACTAATTTACAGCACTTGGCCATCTTCTAAGGACCTCAGTCCCAAGTGTTCTCAGGCAGTTCTGGGGTACAGTCATCAAACCAGCCTGCACGACAATGTGACCACATCTGTCAAACTCAGAGTCCCCGCCCAGTGCTGGCCTTCCTCTCCTCCTCTCCTGCTGTTGTGTAATTTGTTTGCTGGCTTTAAAAAAAAAAAATCCCTTGGTTGCACTGAGACGCAGGAACAGCCTGGGTGGAAAAGAATGGGCAGGATGGGATGGTGTCGTCACAGCAGCAACTATAAACGTGGGACTGTTCCTTTTAAAGGTGCGTATGGGCATGTCTGTTCCTGGCAGGTGATGGTCCAGCCACAGCTATTCTGTGCAGCTACACTGGTCTCGTGTGTGAAGTCAGGAAGCTGTCCATACATATCATCTGAACTGCTCAGATTAGGCTGTGAGAAAGGAAAAATCTCCCACTTTGCTGCCACTGTTCACCACGATGGGGGAGGCTGTAATGAAAGAGAGTGAGAGCACGTGTGTGGGGGTCAGAGCTGAGTACTCGGTGTA